TCAAGTGTAATGATAATAAAGACAAAAATAGTAATAATCTTCGCACTTCATCCTACGGTCTAAACATAATGGGGTCCTGAAAATTTCAATTTTACAAAATCCAGAAAGCTGGATAAAGCTTATAAAGTCCAGGAAGCTGTACAAACAAAACGCTTCACCGCAATAACAATAATAATAATAACAATAATAATAATAACGATAATAACGGCAACAATAATAGCACTGGAAATACCAGTGATATAATTCATAGAAAAGTCAGCAGCATTTATAATGGTAACAATGAAGAGGCGAATGATAACAATGCTTTATAAGTACGACGCTTATTACAAGATGTTTTGCCCCTATTTTTGCAATTTTAAGCGAACAAAGAAAATAATTATTAGTGCAGAAGAGAGGAAAATTCACACATACGGAATTATGTGAATGAGAGATGCTCAAAATGAAGAATAGAATGGAGAAGTTGCCATCTGCATCGCGAATGACGCGACAACAAATGCGGCAACGAAGCAGCAACTTATTAAAATTTCAAAAAAAAAGAACATGCTCTTTTATTAATTTATAATTGTTTTCTTTTTCTTTTAATAACAACACATTTTATTGTTATTACTACTATCATTTATTTCTGTATTATTATTGTCGTTACTATGATTGTTATCATTATATCCGTTATCACTGCCGTTCCTTGCCTGGTGCTCATACACTGGTCTTTCGGTAGAAGATTGGTCCCTAAAAATATGGGAACAAGGTGCGATAGTGTGGTGAAGGCTTGCTTAAACCGGGCAAGTCAGGCCAACAAAAAGTAGCCAAAGGCCTAATATGCCAGAAGCGAAAACGAATGGAATCTGGGCCAAGAACCTCGTCCTCCTCGCTGTACACGAATACGACGTCCCGAGGCATCTACCTTCTCCCTTCTTCCTACAATGATCCAACCAAAAAGCCACCCGCCACGACGGATGACCATCCCAAGAGAGACTGACCCAAACACACAATCTCCTTTCTCACCAGTCTTTGCACTATGCAAAAAAAAAAAACCTTTGCACAACTGGCAGCAAATATCTCCTCTTGAGACTCCGATATTTTACAAAAGCATCAAAAACGTCCTTCAGCACACAGATTCCAGCGGAGAATATCGTCAATGAAATGGAAAAGCTCCGTCTGAACATTCGTCGAGATACACTTATGTAATTCCGGATGAGAAAAGCCCAAAACGCAGAATATGCCAGTACCAATTTACCATCGCAAAGAAGGAATGAACGAGTGGTGGCGAGATTGGTTATCCCATTAACGGAAAATCTTGTATCTTTTTTGATTTCCCACTTACGTGAAGAGGCGTTTACCTGAACCAAGTAAGTGAAGCGTCATACCTATACGGTCCTGTGTTCAGACATATACGATTCAACGGACCGAAACATCTTATCTCACTGTTACCTTCTTTTCTCATGCTGTTCTTTCATGCTGTAATCTGTCGCGCCTTCGCCATTTCGGTTTCTAGAGTCAACCTGGTTGCTACAATCGGCTTATTATGACAATTGGTTGGCAGTTCAAAGTTAATTTATGAAAATTAACTTATCGAGATTATCAGCACGTTGGCCATCAGGTGATGCAGCACTGACTGTCAAAAATACTGGAAGTTAGAGAACCAATTCACACATTTTAAGCAAGCAATCTATCAAAAAACATATTTTTTTTTAATACACAAACATGCATTATCCTCAATATCTCTCATCGTACGATTCAAATTTTTCATGATCACGCAAAGAAGATAATTTCTTCCTTCGTTCCAGCTGTTTTCTCATCGATGGTTTCACACGTTCAAATGGACGTTCCTCGCCCGGTGATTCCACGTCCCGTTTCTTTTCCTGAAGTTCCTGGAACAGGCGCCATTCCTCCACCGTTATTTGTGCGACACGTGTTGCGAATTCTTCTGCATTGCTATCGACAATCTTTTTTAGTTTCGGGTTATCCTAAAATAGAAAAAAAAACATACTTACGGTACTTTGTAAGTTGACTTTTAATACCCAAAAAAAGTTGCCTAGGCTGTGAAAACATAAAATTTTTACTTGGGTCAGTTATTAATTCACAGTCTGGTTCTCCAACAGTACTGCCTGATGGTCAGTTTGCTGCCAGTCCTGACATTCTCTTTATCAGCCCGCAGAAGCACATTGGAAATGCCCTTGGTCCTTGACCTGTGTGTTGGGCATTATCATTCCATTTCGAAAATTGCTATTTCAGAACATGTTGGCGTGAAATTACCAAATAAAAGGTTCTCTTTTATGCATGAAAAAACTGATATTTTACTTTTATTTCACATTTTTAATGCAGTGAGAATGAAGGATAATAACAGGCCAGTGGCATGATAAATTTTAAGATGACTATTTTGAATCCTGATAAAAACAGAATTGGTGTATATTCTCAAGAATTTAGTCATCTGTAACAAGACGGGTGTAGCAACGAGGTTGTCTCTAAAAGCCTAAACAGCGAAGGCGCGATAGATTGCAGCATGAAAGAACAGTATGAGAAAAGGAGGTAAAAGTGAGATAAGATGTTTCGGTTCATTAAGTCATATATTTCTTAACTCAACACCGTGACAGGACCTCATCGGTATGACAATCGAAGTGCTTAATGGAAAAGAAAAGAGGAGGAGAAGAAAAGAGAACTTATTTCGACTTAATCACAGACCGCATTGTCGCCCATTCATAAACTGCTAGTTACCAATTCTGGCTTGAAAAAAAAAGAAAAAAAATCATGCCGTCTTATCAGGGGCCATCGTCCGCCAAATCTAGTGACCAATATAGCCCAAGCTACCATTTTCAAGCTTTTAAAATCGAACTCAGAATCGAGAATTCTAAGATGAGTATTACAAACTGCATTGAACGAACTAACGCTTTTCAGCTGTGGTCTTCTCGGATCCGGAGTCTTATAAATGCCGGTTTTGAGAAGCAGCTCATGACGATCCATTAATTCATTCAGTGAAAGTGACGCCAACTTTGTGCAACCAGCAAAATCTTCGCCTTCCATAAGCATGTGGCAGTAGATGTATTCAATTTTATCCTCAGCCTCATCGGTGCTTCCTATCAACAATTCGGGAGATGACCGTAGCAAAGCATATAGCTGAAAAACCATTTATACACCTCACTGTGCTCGAGCAGTGGTATTATTCGAGAAGAGATGATGAAATTTAACATATACCAAGGAGAACTTAAAATGGCTAGATCTGCCAAATGATTCTTATGGTAGAATCACTGAGCTGGTAATCCTTTTAGGTGACGAAACAAAAGTTAGGATTAGCAGGAGGCTGTTCGGGTGAAGCAGCATTTTCAAGCAACTGGAAAAGTTGTCAGCCAAATGGCTGCTACAGCCGCTCCAAGTAAGCCGAATGCAGCACACCGGTTGATCCTGGAGGCCCAAGTGGCAAAGGTGTGACAGAATACAGGAAGAAAGAACAGTATGTGTAAAGGGGGTAAGAGTGAGATACGACGTTTCGGTCCGTTAAGTCATATACGTCTTAACACCGTGACAGCACCTCGTCAGTATTACGGTCGCTGCGTTTAACAGAAAAGGAAAAGAAAGGGGACGCTATGATTGTAGGATTAGCGGGAGTGAGGATGGAGTGAAGAGAAGGAAATAAGATTTAAAAAAGTTTAAAAAAAAAGAAGAATGAGTCATTACCATATCCTTCTGCCCGGAGTTTTTTTTTACAATCGATATAGCTGGTATTTTTTATGCGTTTC